GAAGAAATACAAAAACCACCAATTACTCTGCTAAATTTTCATATTTTTCTCGATCCTTATTATTAGTGTATAACCGGACTTCCTTTGAAAGAAAGAACATTTGAATCAGTCACAAACTAGTTCAGAACAACGACAAGATGTATGTGTGAATTACCTCATCAAGCGCGGAATCTGGTAAAGCAATGAGCTCGCGAAAATCAGATTCAAATCACATCCGAAAGTATGATCAATTACTGTAACGAAAACTTACTGATATCTGGTGGGCTAGGAGGAAGCCCAGTTCTTGACGTACCGTACGCGGTAAGATAGCTGAAGCTTGCTGGAGTACTCGACATACAGAATAAAGTGACTATTATAAAGATTATTATTTATGTATTTACGTGATTGGCGTCGTAACACAATTGTGTAGTCCACCAATCATATTCAAAAAAGTAGAAATTGAAATTGCATAGGATTATCAAAAACTTCGTTTCGACTGCTATCTTATCCAATTTATATTTTCAAAAAATGTATAACCGGAACCAACCCACTTATTCTAATCGCTATCAGCCACAACAGCACTCTGTATCACCACCTCCGTTGCAACATCCAATTCCAACTCACCCACCGATTCAAATGCGCGATCCGCCATCTTCTTCACCTTCGCCACCAACACAACAACATTTGCATAATGCAATTCAGCAACATATGTATAACGCAAATAACGCAAATAACGCAAATATATGGCATCTAAATGACGCTACGACACAAATGGGAATGGAATTTGGACGTACAGCGCTGTCTGCTGGAACAGAATATATGGAGAAAAATGTTGGTCTAAATATTATTCTCAAAATTAAATTTTATTTAAGTTATATATAATTTTCTTTGAAAACTTTATTCCAGATCAACCGATATGTCGATATTCCTGCTCTTAAATATTATTTTAAATATTATTTCAAAGTAAACAATTCATACGTGGCAAATAAAATCCGACTGTTATTATTTCCGTGGAGGCATAAAGTAAGTATCTTGATTATATGTTTTCTGCTTGATTGATAATAAAAATTAACATTTTTTATGTAGCGATGGACTCGCATTGTAATACGATCTGAACAAAATGGTCAATTGGAAGGATTTAAACCACCCAGAGATGATATAAATTCACCAGATCTATATATACCAGGTATATCATATCGTGCATATACTCAATACCACGAAATTATTGATATTAATTCTTAAATTTATCTTTTCATAGCGATGGCTCTTGTGACATATGTGTTGCTCACAGGAATAGTCTCTGGAACTCAAGGCAACAAGTAAGTTATCTATAGTACGCGCTATTATTATTGAACAAGGTATCTAACATCTTTCCAACTGTTTATCTTTTATAGATTTCATCCAGAGATTTTAGGAGTTAATGCAACTTCTGCGTTTTTTCCTTGTGTTGCTAGAATTGGTATTCATTAAAGCGGGATGTTATTTGTTGAATATTACGTTGGACACTAATGTATTAAATTTACTGGCATATTCCGGATATAAATTTGTTGGGTAATTCTTATATCTCTTTTTGATCTTTATTCGCACTTTTAATACATTAAATTAATGTTGTCTTCTATCTGTTAATGACGCCGCATCAGTGTCATTTTCACATTGGCCGTTTCTTTGATAGCACCATTTTGGATTGTTGCTAGCACATTTATTTACACTGCTTTCGCTAATGGATTCTTCTTGGTATGGATGCAGTTCAGACTTTTAATCAACGAATTTGGCATGAATTTTTAATTCAAGTTAACAAATCTGTATATATCTCACTTTTACCGGGTACAATATGTCCTTGACGAATAGCACGTACAATTTTCATTATCTTCAAAAATAATATTCCAACTATA